CAGATTTGCTCGGGACCTTGGGTCTTGGAGGGAAGTTAACTTTGCTTCAGATGCTGTTCCAACACTCCAGTCCTGTATGAAATGGTCTGTCATATGAGACTTAATCCCAAATCCATCTAAAGCCTAGGTGAATTTCTGGGTTTGTCTGAGGTGATTTATTGCAGGAATCTCACACAACCCAGAAGTTAGCTGGCAGCTTCTGTGCCCTGAGCAACATAGCTCCTTTTTGCTCACTCTCTACTCCTTTCTTCTGTTCAGTGACTACTGCATGCTCTCTCTGCTTGCCACTAGTGTGGACATTCTTTCACACTTGGGAATTGGCTGCAACAGCATCAATAATACGGAACAGAATGAGATAAATTTAGTGGTAACGGTAGCATACAAACTCCTCAGTGCCTTCAAGACATCAGATAGGCAAAGATTCCAGCAGCCAAGAGTTCAAAGCTCCATGGACAACAAGCTTAGCAACACAGCATGTATCCAGGAATATAGCTAATGTATGATTTGTTTACTGGAAGGGAGCATGCATTACCCTGCAGACTAGAGTCTCTATGCTCTGCCTACTTCAGACTCAGGCAGTATATGCTGAATTTAAATTGCTACTTAATTTGGTACCTTTCACCTCCAGCTGTGAATTAGCCCACTAATGAAAAGGTAATTTCTTTTTCAACATGGTAGAAAAGAGTATGTATTTTCATATACTTAGTATTAGTTTTCAGAGGTAGGTATAAGTCCCCCTCACCTCTGTGTGTGTCTGTATGTGTGCAGCATATACATATGAACATGCATGTGTGGATGTGTATGTGAAGGCTAGACTACCTCAGATGTCATTCATCCTCAGGCAGTCCACCATCTTTTTGAGATGGTGTTTCTCATGGCCTGAAGCTTCCAAATAAGCTATGGTAGCCAGCTATCAAGCTCTGGGTTTCTGTCTGCCTCCCCTTCCCCAAGGCTGGGATTAGAAAAATGTGCCACTGAAGCCAGCTTTGAAAATGTGCATTCTGGGAAATGAACTTAGGTCCTTGTGCTTTCAAGGCAAGTACTTTATCCATGTCCTCCCCGCAAGCCCTGGGTTTTAGTCTAAATCATATGCAATCTTTATCAGCGTGGAACATAAGGCTGAGGAAATGAAACTGGGTTATGCAGATATGAAACTCTCTCCCAGTGAATGGACTAAATTCTTATGTAAATTGTTGGAGCCAACATCTTTAGATCATTTGAATGTTGTTAATCAGGAATCCATCGTAAGTTTGGATTGCCAAGGAAAGTATTACTAACTTGAACAGTGATCTGTAGATCTGAAATTCTGGTTACTTCCATCAGTTCTGCAATAACAGAGATACATGATTTAGACTGCAAAGTGGTTTGAAGTATAATCAGGCAAAGAAAAATACTTTCAAGGAAGAATCTGTCAACAGCTGCATTAAACAATCCAAGCCCTCTGTCTGCTACATTTAACCCAAAGAGTGAGTTATAAGAACACAGACACAGTTGAGACTCCAAACAAAAATTAAATTAATGTGTATAAGGTTTTTGTAGCCACCACAGTGGAAGGAAACAATGCTGAAGCCTATGTTCTTAGTCTTTGCACTTGGAAACAGCAGAAATGAAACACTATTCTAGCACCCTATTAGTAATGAGCTTATCCAATTTAAAAACATTATCTTCTACCTTCCAAAAGTAGAATGAGAATTTCTCTGTGCTGAGAGAAAGGAGAGGAGCACATCTCTTGAATGGCAGCCACCTGAAAGATGATCAGCTAGCTAACTCTTCATTGAAAGAATTCAGGGAAGGGACATGAGACCAAAGGCAAGAAGAGTGTTCAGCCACATAGCTACTGTCACAAGTGTCAGGAAAGTCCACTGGGGAAAAGGCCTCTGTAACAAATGGTGCTGGGTTAAATGGGCATCACACATAGAACATGAAACTAGGTCCGTTATGTTTCACTGTGCACAGAAGTAAATTAAAAATGGATCAAAGACCTTAACATAAGAACTGAAACTTTGCCAGGTAGTGGTGGCTCATGCCTTTAATCCCAGCACTCGGGAGGCAGAGGCAGGTGGATCTCTGTGAGTTCAAGGCCAGCCTGGTATAGAGAGTGAGTTCCTGGACAGCCAGAGCTTCACACAGAGAAACCTCACCTCCCCCCCCCCCCCCGCCCCCCCTCCGCAGCCCAAAAAAAGAACTGAAACTTTGAATCAGATAGCGGCAACATAGTGGAACCTCTTCCTATGGATGCAGGTGAGGACTGTCGAGTAGGGTTTCAACAGCACAGGAGACAGACTGAGAGAGAACTAATGATGTCACATGAAATCGAAAGCTTCACGGAAGAGAAAACATCAAGCGAGGTAACATCTTACAGAACAGAGTAAGTCTTTGCCAACCCCTCTGACAGAGGTTTATACCCACATATGCGAAGACCTGAAAAATTAAACATCCTCTCAGCAAGTACTACACCAGGGAAGTCAATACAGAGACTCCTTAAAAAACAAAAACAAAAACGCAAAACAGAGCTACTTCATGACCCAGCTGTACCACACCTGGGACTACATCTGAAGGACTATTAGCACAACACAGAGATGCCTGCACACGAATCTCCCTGCGGCATTATTCTCAGTAACATTATGAATCAGCCTAGTTGTCAGTTGACAGAAGATGGACAGATCTCTCTCTCTCTCTCTCTCTCTCTCTCTCTCTCTCTCTCTCTCTCTCACACACACACACACACACACACACACACACACACACACATACACACATGCACACACAATGGAGACTTATTCTGCTGTAAAGAATGAAATAATCTTATTTACAGGAAAGTGGGTGGAACAGAAGATCATATAATTAAAGGAATAAGCCAGAGTCAGAAAGACAAACATGTATACACTCTCTCATATGTGTAACCTCAAGTTATATATTTTCCACACACGTAATATATATGATACAAAAGTGGAAGGCAAGTATTTGGGAAGAATACAGAACTAACAGAATGGGAAGAGGGGTTAGGAGAGTAATATTGAAATGCATCACTTCATACAACAACTATATATCAATAAGAATTAAAAAGAGAGGATCAAAACAAATAAGACACGAGGGCATGAAGTTTAAATAATGTATCATACATGTTTCTGATAATTGGAACTTTTATTGATAATTTATCAAATTAAATAAGTGGTTGCCCCAACTAGATTATCAACTACTTTAACTTTATAGGTCAGCATTGTTTCAAAATGTAAATACAGGTGGACCATTGTCTCCTATGCTGCCCTCCTGCCTCAGGTTCAGTTCTCCATGGAAGCAGCTGCTACAGCTTGCTGTCCAAAGGTCTTTCTGCCTATGGTGACTGGAAACTGTTATATATATTTCCTGATGTACATCACCATGTCAAAAATTCTGTCCCAAACTTTTCTATCCTCTAGAATGGAGAGAGCATGATGGTTAAGAAGGTTAGAAAAATATGCGATGAAGGTCCTGCTTCAGGCTTTGGAAATATCCATATAGGAGCAGTCAATTTGTGTTTTTTTTTGTTTTGTTTTGTTTTGTTTTTGTGTGTTCTTGTGTGTAGACACATTTGTGTATGTGTGCCTTTTAGGCTGGTTGACTTTGGGTTTCTTCCTTGATCGCCTCACTTTATATACCCTTGAACCTAGAGTTTTCAGATTCGGCTGCCGATAGCAGTTTGCTCTAGGTTTCCTTGTCTCTGCCTCTTGCATTGGGTGTTACAGGCTAGCTGCCATGCCTACTGGCTTTTGTATGGGTGCTGGGAATCCAACCTCTGGACTATAGGCTTGCAAGGCTAGTGCTTTAGCCACTGAGCTACTTCCTCAGTCCCACATTCAAGTTTCCTTTGGAAGTAGATTTTATTTTTAGAAATTGATCTGTGAGCTGTTTCTGTTATAACAGTGAATTGAAAAAGTCTGGACCTAATGTCATTTAAGGTAGTTCAGTTTGGTGAGATCAAAGGTAGATCATTTTAAGGGTTAATAAATTTATCCACATTGATTTCAATATGAGATTGTTAAGCAATAATAGTAGTAGGGCAGGCTATATAGCTTAGGGTAGAAAGTTAGATGATCTGCCCTGGGGTCAGGTTGGCCTGCTAGATGGCAGGGCCCAAATGGAGCTAGGAGAGTACACATTTATCCAGTGAGATGAGGGTCTGGTTCTTCTGATAATGCTAACTTCAATTTTCTTATATTATAAAATTTGTTTTCTGTGATTTTTTATTTCCAAAATTATGTTAATGGAACCCTACCCTTTTCAAGTGTGGTAGATCAAGGTCAGCTGCTGGCTGGCCTGAACACTCAGTGAAAGTGGAATCATTTTGTTACTATAAGAAAACATTTTCCTAAACAACAAGTGAGCAATTTACAAATAAATCTTTGGAAAATTTTTCTGATAAATTTCTTACATAGATTTCTTTACCACATACAACTATAAAGTCAAAACAAAGAGGCAAAAAATTACTCCATGAAAACTAGCTATAGAATGGTACCAAAATCCCTTTCTTCTCTCTCTCTCTCTCTCTCTCTCTCCCTCTCCTATGCTGCCCTCCTGCCTCAGGTTCAGTTCTCCATGGAAGCAGCTGCTACAGCTTGCTGTCCAAAGGTCTTTCTGCCTTTGGACTGAGACAGGGTCTCTCTGTGCAGCCTTGGCTGGTCTGGAACTTGCTCTGTAGACCAGGCTGGCCTCAAACTTACAGAGATCCAACTGTCTCTGCCTCCCAAGTGCTGGAATTAAAGGTGTGTGCCACCACTGCCTGGCTTCCCCTTTCTTTTCAAATAGAAAGACTAAATATTTGTTCCTCCTACTCCATTTCCGGCAAGCACTATGCTGGATTTGTTTTCCCTGGACAGACATGTTTCTGTTTCTGATTGGCTTCATGGTTAGCTGGATCAGTTCAGCACAACAAACATATCCATGACGTTCTTTCACCATCACATCACAGTGGAAGACAGCATTTTGAAATTAAAATTGTCAACAAGGAATTCACTTCTTACCTTGTCGGAAGGTTTGAAAGGATTTCCTTGCCCACTAATTCCACCGCTGATACTAAATCCAAGCCCAGGATTCTTTTCTATTCTCACACAGAACTAAGAAAAAAGACATGAAATGTCAAACCAAGTAGCCATTACAAGTAAATCTTTCAAACAAGGTTTACAATTCACTCATATTTTTAGTGAGCCCATGTTGGTCTGGTGTAAGCAACATAAACTCCACCAAAGGGGTAATGTCTCTATGCCTCCATATGTCAGAAACTACCTTTAGAAGCCCAGGCCTCATGAGCACACTGTGGGTGAAGCATTATCTGTCAATCTATACACATGCCCAGACTACTTAGAAAACACTGTACAAACAAGTGAGAGGAATCAGAGATGGCAATTTAAATGTGGTCGGGGAGGACCCCTTTGGAAGGCGTGGTAGTGTTTAGGGGTGTTAGGGTTTTTAGTTTGAGGGAAAAGGGGATTGAGTTTTGTAGTAGCTGCTGAGGCAGGAGCAGGAAGAATAGAAGGTTATTCAATTGACACAAGGTTCGAGAGTGTGGTCCACAAGACAGAAACTGGGCAGGAGCAGTGCCTCAAGGCTGTGAGGATTTTGGTCTAGCATTCTTTGCTATTACTCCCTTAGGCCTCAGCAATACGGAGAACGAGCACATTAGATGGATGGCCGACTGTGGACTAAGGCTGCAGTGAAGTGGAACGAAGTGTTTACATTAATGTAGACTGTGAGTGTTCGCAGACAGGAAGCCAGCAGGATGACCTGGAGAAACCTCAACAGTCGAGATCTGGGACCCTGTACTGAAGGCGAGTTGGGGCTGAGGGAAAAAATAATGGCTTAGGATATAGGGTGAGACAGGGTGACCCCAGATGATGAGAGCCTTGTGACTAAGAGGAGGCATTCTGTTGTTAAATGAAGAGAAAAGAGATTCACAAATGTTAGGTACAGAGCAAGCAGGAAGCAGGGGAGCCCAGGTGGTACCAGAGGGCAACAATGAGGGGACTGACAGGTCAAGAAAAAATAATGAGGAACACACTGACATGTGTTTTGTCACAAATAAATGCAAAAGAAAAGTTCTTAAGGATGACTGAACTATTGGCTAATTAAGCAACTTTATGCCTCTGGCTAGCACTCATCCAGTCTCTGAACCAGTTAAATGTGAATGCCCAAAACATTCTCTATCTTTCTATTTTAAACAGCACTTTCTATCTTTCTACTTCTATCTCTCCTCTTAGATGGTCCAAGGAAAACATGATTCTTGTTCCATAATTAACACGCACTCGAGTTACAAGACTTTGGATGAATTAACCTTACTTACTAGCACCATCCTTAGTGGGCTGTTCTCGTTCCTAAAATGTATCTATCTTGTGGTTCACTTGCAACACAAGGGCAAAAACTCACCCACTAATGTGATTTTTAATTTCATCTCACCGGTGAATAATTTCTAAATTACAAGTAAGTGCAGTTGCCAAGAGTACTTTTTCAGTCACTTTAAAGATATACTTAATTACAACTTCTCCTTCAACTGATTTAGATTTTTTAAAACTAGTTTTCACAGGGTAGCAGGAGATAGCTTATAATAGTTTATAATTCACATGGTTCACAGCCTATGAGTATGAATATAGAACAGTTTGATATAGCTGGAAGGAATATTTTAGCTTTATTCTATGTAGCACTTTGCCTCTTGGCTATTATTTATTAATTAGAAAATGACAAGAAAGCATCCTATTTAATTAAAATCTCTCCTTTTGTCTTTGCTCACAGATACATGCATTTTCAAATGTCAAATTAAGCAAATTAAGTCAGTCTAAAACAACTAATAGCACATTTTCTCTCATTTGTGGGTCCTAGATTTTATATAAACACATTAAGTCATGTATGTACATATGACATGGAGGTAGAAGCAGAACCATCTAAGGCAGAGGTTCTTAACCTGTGGGTTGTGACCTTTTTAGGGTCAATTGACTATCACAGAGGTCACCTAAGACCATCAGAAAACACAGATATATATATTATGATTCATAAGAGTAGCAAAATTACAGTTATGAAGTAGCAACAAAATAATTTTAAGGTTGAGGGTCACCACAACATGAGAAACTGTGTTAAAGGTCGCAGCACTGGGATGACTGAGAACCACTGATCTAAGGAAAGAAGAGGGTCATGGCAAGATGAAAAAAGGGGAAGTGGGCTTATGGACAGGAAAACACTCCAGGCATACTATATTCTTACATGAAAAAGTGCTAGTGAGACCCCAGAACTGTGTATAACGAAGGATGTGGACACACACACACTCACACATGCACACTCACACATACACACTCATGAATGCACACATGGGCACACTCATGTATCTGTACAACAACAAATCTGGTTCTATTTCTTGTGGAAACTTTACACAAACAGTGCAAAGGTGTGGTTACTGGCTTCCTTTAGGTTACTCTAGAACTGGGAACTATAGGGAGAGTTGTCCTTTATGTAGAAAATTTCCAAGTAGTTTCCAGTCATCCTTCTTCAAGGAAGGGATTACATTTCATTTATAGTACTGAAAATCTAGAATGTGCTGAAAAACTAAGGAAAACAGCAGTGCCAGGCCTGGGAAGTGCTGTCTCAGTGCACTTTAGACAACAGAAACAGTAAAGTTGATACTTGTTTCATAAACCTGACAAACAGACTTCAGCTGTGATCTACAGTTTGGCTATTCCCAGAATGCCACGTGTGTCAGATCAATAGGGGTCTGGAGTCTCCTAAAAACCGTGGGAGGGAGGACTTCTCTTGTGGTGAGGGGTTTCACCTGCTTGCTGAGGCCCGAAGAGGAGAGAGGGAACCTCACAGGCAAAAGAGGCTGAAAGGAACTGGGACGCAATGATTTTGTAAAAGGTCCAGAAGTTAATAAATAACTTATTTACTGAAAATCAGTATTTCAATTTTCTCTTAAGAGATGAAACGAAATGTCTGTCTAAAGCACAGTGTCAGCTCGGTCAGCAGCAGGGCTGTGAGACTCGGCCTGCCTCCTGCATGCTGCTTGACTGCACACTTCTGGTCTGTGTTGATCTCACTGAAATTAGAACAGCGGGTCTTAGAGAAACCTGCTCCCGGGTCGCAGAAGGCGTCAAGGGGGCTGAGCTGTCAGCAAGAGGCAGCTCTACCTAGAAACAGGAGGCAGTCGAGTGATCGTCCAGGGTGGCAGGGTAGGAAGGCTCTAAAATCACTACAATGGTGGACACCCAACTGTAAAGTATTAATATACAACTTGTGTACTTTAAATACTCCAGTTTGTAGGGTATAAATTATATGTACAATGTAGTCAAAAACAGCAAGATCATCATGACTGAAAGACAGCTTTGTAAGGCAGAGAAGGCAATGTGAGCAGGGGCTAGACCCACAGGGACATTAGACTATCCTGTAATTGTGTGAGCATGGGCTAGACCCATGGAGAAATTAAACTATCCTGTAAAAATCTTACTCAGGCATCAATGAAGCCAAAAATCATTCTAAGTAGAGGAGTGGCATGGCATGGATTTCATTTTGATAACTTAGGCAGCAAGGAGAGATCAGAGTGAGGTACAGTGGAAAGAGAGTATTTAGTATTTGTGGGGGTGTGTGGGTGGTGAGGAAGGTGTGAAATTTAGGATGTTACTATGCTCCTGATAGAAGTGTTTTGGATTGGAGGTGGGCTGTGAGAAAGGGGAATCAGACATGTTTAGTCATAGAAGAATGATGGGATGTGGAAGTCTAGATGTAGACAGGGATGTGAGAGAAAGGGCCAGGGCAGAAAGTTAACAGCTCTTTTGGCCATGTTTATCAAGAACTTGGAAAACCTAGGTGGAGAATGAAGGAAGACAGAGCTCAGTCAGTGTGTTCAGACAACTGGAGTGCAGGAGGGAGGGCCAGGATAGAGAGTTGAGAAACGTGGGACGGAATGCTGTCATTGAGGGGATGTGTAGATAAAAAGGCTGGATGCAATCCATCAGGAGAAGAGGTATAGTCATCTCAGGATGGAAGGTTGTGAACTATCCTGGAAAAATGATTTCATGATATATGGAGCCCAGGAAGCAGTGGCAGAGAGAGAGTGATCTCAGACTTTTCTTTCCCTTGGCTGCTCTGTTATCAGCTGCTGGAAGTGCATGTGAGACTTCAGGGGAGGTTTACAGCTGTTGGGCTGGGTGAAGAAAGTTATATCATGTTGAATGATATAAGAAGAAAGGCTTGGGGCTGGAGAGATGGCTCAGAGGTTAAGAGCACTGCTTGTTCTTCCAAAGGTCCTGAGTTCAATTCCCAGCAACCACATGGTGGCTCACAACTATCTGAAATGAGATCTAGTGCCCTCTTCTGGCCTGCAGGGATATGTGCAGGCAGAACACTGTATACATAATAAATAAATCTTTAAAAAAAATAAAAAAAATAAAAAAATAAATAAAATGTTTAAAAAAAAAGAAGAAAGGCTTGAAAAGTCTGTTAAACTACATACTACTTTTCAAAAGCTGCAAAGAAATACTATCTCACTCTCATAAGAATGGTGGTTATAAACAACAACAAACTAATAAATGGTGGTAGAAAGGAGGCGCTCTTGAGCTATGTGTGGGGATATAACTTATTACATTACAGAGTAAAGTTTCTGTCCTCTGATTTAGCTGGCCTCTGATTTAGCTTCTTGAAATGTAGCCAGAGGAAGTATACTCATCACACCAAAGAGAAGCCTGCACATCCATGTTTACCACAGAGCTGTGTCTGGATGGACAGAAAAGAAAATAGGAGACTCAGAATTACACAGTGGAATGCTACTGGACTCTGCAGAATGAAACCATGGCATTTTCAGGAAGGTGGATGGAACTGGACAACCCTATCTTAAGTGAAATAAGCCAGAGACAGGAAGATGAGCACAGCATGCTCTCTTTCATATATTGAGGCTCTAAAAAAGTTAACATGAACACAGAACAGTGGTTTTTAGAGTTTGGGTATTGGGAGGATGAAGTTGGATAAAGAAGACTGTATTCTGGGTTATTGTGCCTCAGGTCACAACATGGAATACAAAAACTCACAAAACCAGGTCCCGATTCCAGTTGGCTTCTAAGCTGCTAGGTTGTCATAGTCAAGGCACTTTATTTCTCTTAGTCTTATTCAATAAGACAGATGCTGGTAACCTGGATCACAAAACTGTGAATTGAACTGTACTTCTTGGGTATCTCTATGTTCTACATGTGTAAACACATTATGCATTGGATTACAAATGTGCATAAAGAAAGATAAAAGATACTATCAGTTTATTTAAAAAAATATTCAGTTTGTGTGACTTCTACATAGTGATGACACCAGTACATTGCCCAGCTGGGAGTATGTTGGGCTACAGAATACCTCAGGCAGTGACTCTCAACTTTGGCTGTACTATGTAGAATCAATGAGGCATTCACAAAATTCCCATTACCTTGGTCACAGGTAGATGAGCGAAATGAGTTGACCTGGGAAGGAGGCAAGGTGTCAGTGTTTTCTGAAGCGCTCCAGACAAGATTGAAATGTGCAGATGAGACTAAGAACACCTGATATACAGTATTGTGGTGGGGAGGACAGGAGATAAGAACAACAAATACTGAGGACATTTAAATGCTGTGGAGTTTCACACAAGCATAACAGTGTCTAGTTCTGGTGTGGGAGCCCACAGTGACCCCAGTTTGTGCCTTGATTCCATCTTGAGTCAAAGTCAAAGAGTTCAAGCTTATCTTTGCTCTCTTAGGCTGCCTAACAGGATGTTTGACCAAAGGTGTGGTTACCAGATATCTTGAGAATTAAGGAGGTGTTTATTCTTGTTTGTTCCTTGAACCATGATGTCCTTGAGAGGGGGAGGTCTTTTGCCCCCCTTGCTTTGGGTATAAAAAGGCCATGAGAAATAAACTCAGGGATGTTGTGGTGTTAACTCAGAACCCTCCCAAAGCTATCCTGTGTCTCTGTCTTTTTCTTTTACGTCTACGTCTCTATTTTTCCTATCTATTATTTCTCAGTCCTCACTCACCTTTTCAGGACTGTTCAACAGGTTGGGCAGGACCCAACATTCTGGCTTCTTCTCTCTTTTGTAAACTAATGAGGTTAGGATTGATAACCATTATCTTCTTTAAAACATTTTAATTCTTAAAAACTTTTATTCTCATTCCTTCTGTTTTCTATTTCTACCCTCTCAGAGAAGCCCTATCTTTGCCTGCACAGGACTGTATCATCTAACTCTCACCCAACTTTTGGAAGGTATATCTGAATATGTAGGAGGAATCATGCATGCATGCAGGGTGCATGCATAAGTGTGCACATGCACATAGCAGCAAGGAGTTAGTTAATCTTCATTGTAGTTCCTTAGGGTTTCCTATTGACCTGGAACTCACTGAGTAGTCTTGATTAGCCAGTGAGCACTATGGATCCACTGAAATCCTCCTCCCCTGCTCTGGTATCACAAGAATATATGTGGTGGTCTGAAAGAAAATGGCTCCCAAAGATGTGGCTTTGTTGGAGTGAGTATGGCCTTGTTGGAGGAAGTGTGCCACCGTGGAGGTGGGCTTTGAGATTTCCTATGCTCAGGACACCACCCAGTGTCACAGTCCACTTCCTGTTGCCTGCAAGATATAGAACTCTCAGCTACTTCTTCAGCACCATGTTTGTCTGCATGCCATCATGTTCCACCATGATGATAATGGATTGAACCTCTGAAACTGTAAGCTGCCACCTCAATTAAATGTTTTCCCTTATAAGAGTGGTCATGGTGTCTCTTCACAGCAATAGATATAACCTTAACTAAGACAGTGTACAACCACATCTAATTTTCATTTGGGCTCTGTTGCTAGAACTCAGGTGTTCATGCTTCCACAGCAAGCACTTTCCTGACTGAGCTATCTCCCAGTCTTCACCAACCAAAAGTTGTTGACAGGTGGTATTGTTTCCATTTTAAAGAAAGAAACAACCTTAGAAGGAGTGAATGACTTGGCCAGGGTCACATGGCTCATTACAGTAAAAAAAGAACTTCAGAATCTAAGCCCCTGGTTTGGTGATCTTTTCTGAATGACAGAGCTTCATGAGGAAGAGCAGAGGTTAGGGAAGGCAAAATAGCAGAGAAGCAAAGTAGAAATAATCATGTCCAGAGTACATCTAGCAGCTGATCAGGTGTGGCACACACTGCTTTGGGGTACTTGCCAGTCTTGTGGTTTAATTAACCCTGTAATGTCCACTTTTTGATGGAGTATCACCTCAGGTGGGGCTGGGAGGAGGTAGTCATGTGGCAAGCCATTTGTGTTGCCCAGCACAGAGCAATAAAGGCCATCAGGATAATGTACTGCAAACATGGTCAGCAGAGCTCTTGGGATTGTAATCGGGGCAGAGGAGTGTGTTTTGGAATGAGGTCAAGTTGTTTAAAGGCTTTGAGGGCATTATTGTCACTGCAGCTTTGGCCTTAGCATTCTGAGCCATTTCAATCCAAGACCAAGGCAAAACACCAAGAAGTCAAAAGGATTGGATTTAAGTCCATTAACACTACCTCTCCAATGGCATCAGGTTTATCAAAGCTATGGATCAAAACAGTCAAAAGCTACTGTAGATTCTTTCTATGAAGCAATTACAATATTGTGAACTAAGTTCATGTGGTAATAAGGCAGTGATTTGGGGAGAAAAGGGGAAAAACAAAACAAACAAAACAAAAACCCATGTAGGTTACTAGCAGGAGCACCTGAATCAGAGAACTGGGTTGAGGATGGTTTTTCTTGAGGAGTCAGATATGAATACAGCCTTTGTTAGAGCACTATTTAAACCTCATCAATTTTTTAGACTTCTGGAAAGTCAGTAGCTGTACATCATTATCTGACTACAGGAGCCTGCCTGGCTTGTTACATGTTAAGTCCAACATGTGGCCTGGATTAGGGAAAGGGAAAGAGAATTATCTTGAGCATCTATGATTCTGAGAGTGATTGATACAGGTCAGATGTAAGAATGAGACAAAGTTTGAAGCATCTAGGATCCCCATGATAAATGGCCTGAGAAACATAATAGAAAAAGCTGGAGAAAGAAGGTAATCTTGGCTGGTGTGTAGAAGAGATGGTTGGCTACCATGTAAAGCATTGGATAAATAATAACAGCACGGACCCTTCATAAACCATGTGATGGGTGAATAATGCCATGGAGTTTTGCCTAATAATCTGAAAAATGAAGTATTAATTTTGTATGCATTAGATTGTGTTGTATCCTCCCCAAGCTTCCATCAGATGAAATCTTCTCTGGTCTCAAGGAAGGAGAACATTCTACAGTGGAGAGCAAGTCCCAATTCTAGTCAGGACAGGAGAACAATAGTCATTATTATGATTTTGCTACATTGCATTAATCAGTAGCTTTTGGAACATTTAAAAATTTCTCTTCCAATAATTCTTTAGGGTTTTCTATACTCTGTACTATTCAACAACCAGAAAATAGGGCTAAAAATGTGTTTCTGCAAATGAAGATGGGATAATAGCTCACCTTTCATACTCTCCATTCGCCTTAGTCAATACACTCCATCCACAGAGGTTCTTTATAACACTCAAAACTAGTGCTGAAGAGTTGAATTGGGATGGGCAGTGGGAAGGAAGGACAGGACTGGAAAACCATTGTATTTTGCTTGCAAAAAGGCATTTTACCAATGTGTCATTTGCCCCTAACCACTGGCAGCAATGACCCAATTCCTATGAAGAGCATTGTGAGCCAAGGACCAGTGTGCAGCATTGAGTTGTTTTAACTTCCTGAATGTCCACTGACTGTTACAAGAGCTCTCCTTACCTGCTCAGGATAGCCATCCATACTCCTCTGTCCTTTCGTTTGAATTAAGCACCGTCCAGGCTGAGGTCCCCGGGTGGCCTGTGATGAAGGGATCTGGATGGGCAATGGCGACTGAAACTGCTGGATGGTCACTTTGTTGATGTTCCCCTCATATGGCTGCTGCTCCCGGCTTCGGTGTTGAAGACTCTGTGACCCCATCAGGGTCTGAATGTGGCTACCTGCCTGTAGAGAGCAGAATTGTCAGGCCAAGTTCCCTGTGAGTAAAGCAGAAAGCACCATGCTGCCCCATGGGAAGAGGCCCTCATATGGGCTCCCAGCCCAGGCTGGAAGAAGATACCCCATGGGTGAGAGATCCCCATGTGGGCTCTCCAGCCAGGCTGGGAAGGATAACAAAGGAAAGGTAGGGGTACACTCATGGGGCTGGTGGAGACGTTGACACCGGTGCAGTCATCTGGTGGTTTGCTGGAGATTATTTTATTCCTGATTTTAAGGCAACAAAATTCATCTGAAAAGAATCTCAAAGAAAAAGAATTCAAAACTTAAAAATAAAGGGTAGTGCTAGATGACATTTTATGTTGAAAAATAACCTAGAGAAATATGTAAGCTCTTTAGCATCGGGGGACAATAATCCCTCTTCCTAAGGCAAAACAGTAGAATTGCTTAAGTTCTATGACACAGGTGCACAGTGAGCTGGTTCAGGAGAAAATAATAAATGCTATTAATTTGTTACATTATTAGCTCAAGAGCATTAAAAGTCAATCATGTGATAAATGCCTGTAAGCAGCTGCCATCTGTGGGGACAGGAAGGGCATTTAGAATGAGCTATGCACACTCCTTTGTTTTAAAGTTCTTAAAGAGTATGGAAAATAAAGAAACTCATAGTGAAGAAAGAACATCATCTAGAGGGAAATATTTTGCTGGATTCCAAACAAGAGGTAATTTAAGAAGAAAATACTCTATTAATTGGCAATATGAATGCAAAATAAACAACCTTCAGATTATATATTAGATGTCTAATTAGCTGTCTTGGCATTGTGAACCATTTTCTAACTTCATGAAGATCAAAAATGTTTCAGTCATGGGGAATTAGAGGGAAAGTTGTGGGGGTTTTAGCCTGTACCGGGGCAAGGTGCAGTTACCCACATGTGTGATAATCTCAAAGGCCAATGCTTATTCCTCAGACTCATCTCTCTTCTTGAAAACTTCCAGAAACCTTGTCACTTTCCTGCCAGTCTAGAAGACTGGAAGTCCTTATGGCAAGTTCAGCTCTTCTCTGCTGCTACAAGTTTTCCCATTCTCTTGTTTGGTAGATGGAAGCCCTTGTGAACCCAGGGTTATGTTCTGAGTCCTCTCATGAATCACTTGGCATCGTCAGTTACGTGTCAGACAGAATGATCTCTCGAGGTCAGAGGGGGCAGAGCGGGGTTGATTTCTGATTCCTACCTGGTTCCCACCTCCACTGTAAGATATTTGGCTGCTTCAGCACCTTCCTATATAATCTGCATGAGAAAACCAATAATGCCTGCTTGAAAGTTACACTGCTGACTTATTTGGAACAGACTCTGTCCAAAGTTGAAACAGCCTCTCCATTCTGCAGAACTCTAACTTTAGACTTACGTTTTTCTGGTGTATTTTTCTTCTGACAGGCCAGGATTATATAGATGTTTGAATTGTTTTCAATGTGGTGTATGTATGCATGTTTGTGTGCAATGAGTTCCAGGAACTGTCAGCCTCTATTCCCCCAGTCTGGGCTTACAATTATCCCTCATATCTTGATTTTTTTTCTGGGTGCTGGAGATTTGAACCCAGGTCCCCCTGTGTATACAGCAGGTACTCTACTAACCGAGTCATCTACCCTGCCCCTACTTTTGAATTTTTGAGGACATGCAGCATATCCCACTTACTCTTCTCAGTGAGAGGCACAGTACATGCATTTAGTAGACAATAGCTGTCATCCAAACGTGGTGTTGAAGCATGTCCCAAGGCATCTCACATGCATTACCTCCTTTGTTTTCACAACAACATTAAGAGGTGATTATTATTATTACCCTATTTTACTGAAGAGGACACTAAGGTGGGCAATAGTATACAATATTCCCAAGTAATTCACAGAACTGGGGAACTGTCAAATCAGCATTTGACAAAGTTGTCTATCAAAGGTCATCCTCTTGATTATGGTATTATACTGCAGCCTGGTCCCCATTCGTAGTTCTACTGAGAACAGAAAAGGAACTGTGCAGAGGACTCCCAGGCTCTGGCTGGTCTTCACAGTCAGTTCCTTAGCAGCCCTTGTATTTCCCACTCAGTGGGTCAGGCCTGTGGGTTGTCTTAGGTGCTCTGCTTTGGACTTCAAGTTGACAGGTAAGCAAACAGGATGGTGCTGTTGTATTTAGTAGTCTTTCCCTTGCTATGAGTTAATAAAGCTTGTGTTTTCAGATGGTGAGCATGAAGGGAGCAAGCAATCACTGTGCAAGTGATTCTGCCTGCCCATCCACTCTCCTGGGCTGCGGGCTGTGGAGAGCAATGACTGACGGCTGCAGAAGGCAAAGAACAAACACCCAATTCTGTAAAATTAAACAAACACAAATGACAAGACACTTAGTGGGATGGTTGTGGTTCAGAAGGATGGGAAGAGGGCTTTGTGAACAGCACAAAAGCTTCCTGAGGGTGACGAGGACACTGACGATGAAGTACAATACGCCAATGGGAACAAGAATGTCAGCGGTTGGGTTTGTTCAAGGGGGCGGGGAGTAAGCCATGTGTACACCGCCTCTTACTGTATGGGGGATGCAAACACAAAGGTTTCTGAAAAGACACTGTGACATGTTTGGAATGACAAAAAGAAACAGAGGATTTGGTGTTTTTGGAGCTTTCAAGAGGAGGCTGGAGAAAACCATACATATTCCATAACAGAGTTGGAGTATGGTACTTTCAAGTTGACCCTGAAACAAACTGTCAAAATTTATAGGGGAAAAAAGCTCTAATATCTACAGAACTCAAGAAAATATTTACACTCAAAACAGAGAAATGCTAATTTGATACTAAATTCTATAACTCACCCAAAATTCAGCCTGAAGCTAATTGGGCTTATTATGGGAAACTGTTCAGTGTTTAGAAGGTTTATACAACATCAAAGAAATGTCTCTGTCACCACTGAGGTGGTTTGGCTCACAGTGCTCCTCCAGACCTGAGCAGGAGGCCGGACATACACTGGGATGCCCAGGTGGGCCTGTGTCTCTCACTGTCCATCTTGGCTCTTGAACAACTGGAGTTTGCTTGGAAAAATCAAACACAACTTAAATGGATGACAGCTTGTGGCACTTAGGGTGTTCAAAAGAGCATGACTAATGCTCGACACTTAAGTCCAAGAGAGTTCATCTATAGACTCATTCCCAGAGGAGCACTTAGTAACTTATTCCAAGGAGTTCCTTTGCATTTAAATAACCAAAGTTTTTATAATTTAGTAAAACAACCAATACCTGGTTCCACCACGCCCCTTTACACGGTGCCCTTCCATTTTAAAAAGCAAATTAGGTTTCAAAAGCTCAGCTGGTTGTACGCTGGCTTCCTTGCAGATGGACTTCATTTACTTTTACTCATCCCAAAGTTAAATATAATAAACATCTTTGGACATTATATGTTATCACATACAAGATGACTAAAAATTAGAATTTTAGAAGGGACAAAATTACAGTGTGATGGTGAGCTCTTTGAATCATATGAGAAACATGGAGCTGAATCAATGGTCAGTCTAAAACAGCAAACTAACACAGACAACACAATACCAACAAAAATCAGCCCACAAGAAAACCCAAAAATTCTGTTCAGTAAAGAATCAGGGACTGATACAGGACCTATGTAGATAGAATCCTTTTAGATAGTGACTTTTTTACTGAAGCTGAATATCATAGAGCAAGCCATAGCCTCAGCTTAACAATGCCTGTAAAGGCCAAGTAGAGACTAGACTCTTCTCTCTCGGGATGTGGCAGAGCATTGCCACATGGCTGTAAAGTATGATGCCCCGGACTCCAATATCCAGAGGCCAAGTAGGGTGCCACAGCACTCCCATGACTAGCACTCAATGGCCCCTCCCACCCAGGCACAGTAAGACTTCTGCCTTTCTAACGGGATGTTAGAGAAGGCCTCGTAGAGCCAGACTTTCATCTGACCCTGTGATAGTGAGGCAACTGTACCAGAGCATCAGAGGAAATCAGTGAGGAGTTGGAGTCTCCATCTCAACCTAGTAACATCAAGGATCTTTTGTTTGGGATTTCAATGAAGGCCAAAAGGAAATCTTTCTTTTTAAATATTACTTTTGTTGGGATTTATTTATTTTTATTTTATGTGAATGAGTGTTCTGCCTGCATGTATGTCTATGTACCATCAGATCCCCTGGGATTAGAGTTATAGATGGTTGTGAGCTACCATGCAGATGCTGGGAATTGATCCTGGGTCCTCTGGAAGAACAGTGAGTGCTCTTAACCACTGAGCCATCTCTCCATCCCCAAAGCCCTTCTTTCTATCTCCCCTGGATTACAAGTCACACCAAATCCTTCCTCAACTGAAATGGAATTAGAGGAAGCTAGCTAAAACAGAAAGGCCAAATTGGGATGGAGAGATACCTCAATCAATAAAGTGCTTGCCTTACAAACACAAGGAGCTGAATTCAATCCCTAGAACCCATGTTTAAAGAGCAGTGCATGGTGAAGTATGTGTATGGCAGTATATGCTTGCAATTTCAGCACTGAATAGGTGGGGACAGGGTCATCCCTGGATTTCCAGGTGAGTACCAGGACATTAAGAGACCCTGTCTCAAAAACAAAAGGTAAAAGACAGCGTCCTCTGGCATTCACACACATCCACATTCACGAACATGTGCAGGCCTTACACAGTGTGTGCAAGCATGTGGAGAATCTTAGCAAAAGACCACAGAGAGCTGGACATTAGGACAACAGAAATCACTTAGTCTGAGTAACAGAGAGAAAACACACAGGAAAAATATGAGAAAAGTCTAAAAAAATCTGTGGACTACACAGTGTTTTAGTAATCATATCATCAGAACAACGGCAGAAAGAATGTGCAGCTAAAATGCTACCAGAAGAAATAATGCCCTAGGTTTGGGGAGATGGCCAAGCAGCCAAGACCACTCTGCCTTTGCAGAGGACAGAGTTTATTTCCCAGCACCCATATCAGGTGCTCACAACCACCTGTTACTACAGCTC